ATGTCTTGTATGGGGTTTTTCCTGTAATTGTGATATAATGTTCACTTTGTTGGGTTTTGTTGCAGTATGCCCCATATGTATTTATATATATAATAACAGAAAGCTCAACCCAATGAAGTTAAAGGATTTACAGGTGTAGATAATCCATATGAGAAATCAAATGATACAGATATTGTTGTTTTGATGTTAGTAAGCAAGGTATTAGTGAAATTTGTCATCAAATTGTTCTACTACTAGAGAAAGTAAGTGTAATAATAATAATGCTCTCTTTTGATTGATTGATTCACTTTATTATCATAAAATTAACAGGATGGATATATCAGAGAAAAATAGTTTTTATTAAATTTTTTTCATATTTGTTAAGTCATATATACCACTATCATAATTTCACATGACATTAATTTTTTGAAATTGTTTCCAAAAAGGATGGTTTAATACATTTTTCATTTCTTTAACAACAAGTTGTTTATCATCTTCACCACTATGATCTAAATAATATAAAATATCTATATTAAATTCTTTTAAATAACTATATAATTTATCATAATGTTGGCCAACACTATTTTTACCATGGCTATCATCTGAAATTGTAAATCTACCACCTTTTCTTATAATTAACTTTAGAATATCTCTTTGTGGATATGCATCCCTCAAGCCTACTTTGTATGCAGCTGAATTTATCTCAAATAAACCACCATAACTTATAACAAAATCAATATTTCTTTCAATTTTTTCCCAATTTGAATCAGTTAATTGAAAATCCTGTTTGAATTTTCTAATAACATCAAAATGACCAATAATCATTGGTTTAATGCTTTTGAATAAATGAAATTGTAAATCAAAATATGAATTAAATAAATTTTCTTCCATTGATGATGATGAGGGCAGATTATTTTTTTCACAAGCTTTTTCCAAAGCAATTTCAAAAGTTTTTAAATCAAAGTCAATAGGAATTTCATAAACATGATGAACTGAACCAACACAATATTCTATTGAATGATCTTTAGCCAATTGTAGTATTTCAAAGATTGAATTTGAATAAATGTTTTCACTTTCAACACCAATGAGTAATATGATTTGTGATTTGTATTTATTTTGAAGACGTTGAGCTTCTATGACATAGTCGGTAAAAGTTTTATTTAATTCTTGTGGTGATGAATGAGATTCTTCTGGGTATAAATCTTTTGTTCGATATCTTGGGCAATGTTCAGATAATCCATAAACTTGAAAACCTTTTTTAATGGCTTCTAACACAATTTCTTCTAAAGTATCGGTTGCATGGAGACAAAATTGACCAGAATGACTATGTTGGGAAAAAGGCATTTTTTTAATAACTATAATATTATTTTTAATTTTTTTTTTCAATTAAATATTGATCTACGTTCAGCGATCAAATCCATGTAAGATCAGGTAGGTGTGTCTATAATTAAAAAAGACGTACTGTAAAAACGTCAACGTGGTGTTGCAGATGCTTTATGAGACACTATTCATGTAAGCGTAATCAAAACCTGAAGCAAGAAAGCTCAACAAGCTAAACATAAATCTATATAAGAGAAAAGGAAAATTTTATATAAATATTTATTTATTGTAAATATCAAAAAAAAAACAAGCTCAAAAAATCAAAACAATAATAATTACTTTTTTTTTTTATATTTATATTAATTAAAAATTACGGGTAAACCATCAATCCGATTAATATTATCTATTAATATTAATATTAGCAATATTACTCTCACTTGGCATTAGTATTAGTGTGTGGCTTTTTGCTAAATACGAATATGTAACGGTAGCCGTATATGGACTTATTGTCAAAATTAATATAAAAATTACGTTAGAAATTGCTCCTGGAACCACTACTACATTTCAAATTGAAATAAGCAAACTTTTATTTCATAAATTAATCGAATGATTACCAATACAAATACAAATCACAAAGTATATCAAATATATAATGAAGGTTTGTCATACATCAATCAAATTATACTTGCCACTCTATTCACCCCGAAGGTAAAGCAAAGCCTGTAATCATCATTCCCAATTATCAAGCCAAAAATTGCTAAACAAGATCCCTTATCAACCAGGTGGGTAATAAAAGCTGCTTTTCGAGTTGAATTAAAAGAATACTTGAAGAAGAAGCAATGTGACCTCACCTTGGTCGTGCACAATCACCGAAAGTGATAGCTTGCAAGCATCATATGGCCTCTGTGCAGTCATGTGCCTTGTATACCTGATCTAGTAACGTTTCCACAGTGTAGAACGCCCTCTAGTCTTTCCGCCCGACCCTTTTTGCATGCTTACGTTCCGCCACAATATCGTGAGTTGGCATTCACATCATTAATCAACAATATCAAATTTATGTTCTTACCGGACTGGCCATAATATATTGATGGTGATAGATTTCTTTTTTTGCTTTACTTTATATTCAAAAAATATAATAATACTAATGATAGCAATGTTTTAAGTAAAAGCTCTTGTTTTTGTCCCATCCAATTAAATAATTTCCTATAATTATGAAGCTGGCTTCTTTTTCGAGCTTGGATTATTAAAAGTCATGTTTGCTATTAAAGAATAATTAATAAATAAGATAGCTTATAAATAGATGGTATGAAAATTAGTATGTACCGATAGCACACCACCAACAGCAAATGTAGCTTTAATCAATGTATATCACATGTATAGCAAGCTGTAGATGTCTTGGTATAATACGTTACATTTTTAGATTTAGATGCATTTCCTGCTAGTTTCAAATATTTCTGCGGATATTATGGAATACCAAATTTTGCTCTAATGCATGCACTTTCTAGTTTTCAAGTAACGGCGAATATATCTCACTGAAAAAAAATAATATGATTAGCAAAAAAGAAAGCAATTTCAAATACAATTAAAAGTAAATAAAAATAAAATAGTATTTTAATTAATATAACTCGAGCCTTTTCTTTTTGATGACTGAATCACCATTATAATTAGCAGAGTTGTAAACGATAAAATAATATCATTTACAGCGTGTAATTATTTTGCATAACCAATAATAAAATGTTTTGTTTATTTATCTCTACCAGCTTTCTTATCTCTCATTGAAGACATTTATAAAATAAAAGGCTTCTATCTTCTACCTTTAGCATCTTATAAGCATGTGTTGCACGAAGATTGAGGTCTAACTTCAAAAATGGTTCACATTACATTACTGGCCTGACAATGCTCATTCATCAAGGAAAAATACATCATGAAGTGAATATTTCCTTTCATACCATTGAACATAATTTCAAAATGCCTAAAGAATAAGTACTATTAAACATAAGCAGGATGGTGACTGCCTGATCCAAGGTTTTATATACTTTTTCAAAAACAATCGGATTTCTTTTATTTTTAATTGATAAAGTTCCAGAAAATATAGAAGCATGTAATTTTATATGTGAAATATTAAACTACAATCTGTATTATTATTATTTTTTGTATACTTATTATGTACATTTTTGCGTTAGAATAATTATTAAAAAATTTAACGTCAAAATTTTCAAGTCAAAAAATTTGGCAATATTTAATTATGCTTTGCAATCGTGCAAACCCACCTTCATCTATCTTCAATATTTGTTGAGATATGCAACTTTTTGTCACCTAAAATCGCTTCCATAAAAATGTCTCAATTGATCCCATTTAGAATTTTCATTGTTGCCAAATGGGAAAAAATATAGAAAGTTCTAGCATAGCATCATAATAAAGACTTTAAAAATTTTTATTTTTTTCCCACACAACATTTTCTTACGTGTCTTAAATTTTTTTTTTTTTTAAAAAACAAAAAAATGTCCGATACTCGTGTTGTAGTTGGAATAGGTACAAAATTTATTTTACCACTTTTTATCGAACGAAAGTATTAATTAACGATTACGATAATATTGCTAATACCCATTTTTTTAAAAAATAATTAGATTTCGGAACAACCTATTCGGTAAATAGTCGTACTTACAATGATTTTTTTTGTCAACTTATCTTTTATCATTATCCTTCTTTTAACCGCAGGGATTTGCGTACTCGCACGAAGTAAACCCTGAGATTGAAACAAATCAAATTTGGCCAACAGGCGTAATGAACACATTTAAAATCAACACAGTATTGATGTATGATGAAAATGGTGATAAAGTTGAATCGTGGGGTTTTAAAGCCTTGGTCAATAAAAAAGCGAGAAGACGTATCGATGACACAAAAGATTCTAGACCTATTGAATTATTTAAATTACATTTAGGAAGAGATATAGAAACTTCAGAAAACTTGGAATCAAGATTAAACGAAGTTTCTACACAGAATAGACTCGATTATAAAAAAGCTATTGCTGATTATTTGGGTGAAATGGGTTTGTGTTTTTATTAACAATTTGTGGATTAATTCATTAATTCATTAATTAACTGTTAATTTGCCAATTATAAAAACAACGTCAATAATTATTTAGCCAAGGTAATGAATATAGTGCAATTTTTTTATTGTTATAGTTTATTCTAACAAATTTTTTATATATTGTTAGCTAATTAAAGATACCATCCAAAGAAGATGGAATGATTTAAATTTTTTCGAAAATGTTTTAATAGTTTTAACTGTGCCAGCGGTAAGTTTTATTTTTACATGGATGCACTTATTTTTTCAAAAAAAAAAAATAATTTTGTTGTTGTTGCCATTATTATTATTACTATTATTATTATTATTATTATTATTATTATTATTAGGAATTTACTGATAAAGCGAAATTTATTATGAGAGAATGTGTGTTCAAGGCAGGTTTAATTAACGAATTACACACCGAAAATTTACAACTTACAACTGAACGTATGTGTATTGTGTGATTCTTTTTAATGTTATTGATTTACATGTATATGAGTGCGTAATATTAATTGCTTACTGGCTTATCCATTATACAATAACATGTTTAGCTGAAGCCGCTGCAATTTATTGTAGAAAAGTTTTGGGCGAACATTTCAAAGTTCCTTTTGGAAGTAAATAAATATTTTCATAATAATTTATTTTTTCAAAGGAAAATTTTTATTTAAGAATTGGTAATTAATATTTAATTTTTTTTTTTGTTAGAAACATTTTTAATTGTAGATTGTGGAGGTGGAACAGTAGACCTGACAGTTCGTCAATTATTAGATGATCATAGTTTAGAAGAAAAAACAGAACGTTCAGGAGATTTTTGTGGTGGAGTCTTTGTTGATCAAGAATTTGCTAAATTCCTTGGTCAAAAAGTAGGACACCATGCCTTGAAATCTTTTAAAGAAAACCATTATGGTCGATATCAATATATGATTCATGAATTTTTTCATAAAGAAAAACATCGATTTAGTGGCAACGAAAATGAATTTGACGTGATCGACTTTGACCTACAAGATTATGCACCATTGTTAATCGATTATATCACTGATGATTTGTTGAAAAGTAGATTGGAAGTAGATGAATGGCAAATCACATTAGAATTTCATCATATGAAATCATTTTTTGATCCAGTTATAAATAGAATTATTAGATTGATAGACAAACAATTAGAAAATGTAGAATGTTCTGCAATGTTCTTGGTTGGTGGATTCAGTGAATCGAGATATTTACAAAATGTAATCAAAAAAGAATTTCATGATCGAGTCAAGAATATTTCCGTGCCTCGTCATCCTATGATAGCTGTTGTTAAAGGTGCAGTGGAATATGGTTTGAATATGAAGTGTGTTAAAAATAGAGTGTTGAAAAAAACTTATGGTGTCAAAATGTTCAAAGGTGATTTGTTAACTGTATTTTTAACCGAGGTCATACTTGATACGAAAATTCCGAATTTTCATACTCTTGTAACCCGTGGTACTAAAGTTGATGTCGACGAAGAATTCTCTGTTATTGGTACGCCATTACATCCTAATTCGAAAACCGTGTCTATTGAAATTTTTGAAACATTAAGTTGTGCTCCTAAATTTTTTGATGAACCTGGAATGAGACAATTAGGAAAAATTGAAGTTGATTTACCTGAAAATACAATTACAAACAATTCAAATGGAGAATCTTCATCAAGTAGTGACAACAACCAAGATGATTTAGGCGATGACGATGTGGATGATAAACGTTGCGTTGAAATAATTTTACGTTTTGGTGAGACAGAAATAAAAGCTATGGCCAAAGTTAAAGGAACTGGCGAAATTAAAGAAGTACTAATAAATTTAGAATCGTAATTTTATTATTATTATGTATTATTATTAGATGTATTTAGAATTTTTTTTGTATTTTTTTTGTATTTTTTTTTTGTCAAAAACATTATAAATGATATTATGTAAATTACCGTAAAGTTCAGAAGGATAGCACCCCAAAAAATATTTGAAACAACTGTTACACGGTTTTAAAATTTGGATGCTATCTTTCCGGACTTTGCGGTATGTAAACATTATTATTATTATTATTATTTATTACAAATAAAGAATAAAATTAGTGGGGGGTTTTTTTTCTTCATGTTGATGGTGTTACTGATGTTGCAAAAAAGTCTTGCCCAAAACATGACTTGTTAGCAACATAATCTATTAGATGGTGGCAATAATTGGTATTATCTTGTGAAGATAGACATAAAGTGATTTTATTACCTATACCAGCTGTTCCCACCACACACTAGGAATTGATAGCGTTCTTGTGCAATGATTTGCCATATAGGGCATTACGAATGTTGCTATTAATCACGTTGATGGATCCGTACAGATTACAAGGCATGATGTTAGCGGCGTAATTAATTGTTTTTGGACTGGATTTCGCATCTCGTAAAATATTGATCATGATATATGTTCGAACTGTTTTGATGAGCAGGTAATTTATTGATTTCTTTTTTTTTTTTTTTGCCGGCCCTGATAAAAAAGGGTTGCGAGAAAATATCCCAGTAAAACACGAATGCAAAAATTTCCTTCTCTAGATAATTATTGGTTAGAAACTTCTCCTAACAGAAGATTAGGCGAACCCTGAGCACCTTTCAGAACTTCTTTTGTCAGAAGATTAGGCACACATCCAGCACCTTCTGTCAGAAGATTAAGTACGTCGAGCTTCGCAGAGATTAGGCAAAAATTTTGAATCAGTCCCTACCTCAAAGGCTATTAATGCAGCTTGCGCTTTTACTCTGTGGTCATGACATTGAGGATTTCCCAAGTTTGAATTTTTTGTAACTGTTGTTGGTATATGCAATACCGTGAAGGATGAAACACTCCTTGTTCATAGATTTGTATTCTTGAAAAATCTCTATAAGATAATATTTGGTAGTTCCAAAGAAAATTCTATCTGAAAATTCAAAGGAAGTGTGATACTTGACCTTTCATTTCTTTTTCACAAAGGAACGATGAAAAATAAACGTGTTGGCTGCAAAAAAATTATTTGCAATTGCATTTCTGGAACCAGGTTTAAGACTTATAGAAGTTTGCCTAAACTACTAAATTTCGGCAATAGTTTCGGCAAATTAAAAAATTTAGTTTCGGTTTTCCAAGCAAGCAAAATGCCGAAATTTTAGGCATAATTATTTTTACCGAAACTAAATCTACGTGCCGAAACTATAAAATGTGTAAGCCTTTTGTGTAACTACTTTTTCTAGTTTTTCTTTACCTTCCCATTGATAGTCATACATAATAAGACTATGTTGAAAACAAACACTCATAAACTGATTTCTTAATGGTTTGCTAATCAATTTCCTTAAATCTTGTTCAATATTCTTACTACAATGAGGAAAT